GGCGACCTTGCACTGGGGGGAAAGGGAACAGCCCACTGGCATCCAACATTATTGCCCTGAGAAGTTTTCTTTCATAAATTTTCTTATCATGAATTAGATGATGTGTGTGTGTGTGTGTGTGTGTGTGTGTGTGTGTGTGTTACATTTCAGCCTATCAGCTCCGTATTCAACAGTTGAACTCTCACCTACCTCCCCGGATTTGTCTGCTCTCTCCTTTGGACCTCTGCTTCCTCTTCCCTCCAGTGCCCTCCCTCCCTTGGGAAGCTCCAGAGTCTGTTCCCTTTGTTGTGCAAGTCTTTGTCTGGGTTTTTATCTGATCGCAGCCATCTCAACTTGTCCTTGTGATTGACTAGCTTCACGCAGCATAAGGGTCTCCAGGTCCCTCCACGTCATGAGGAGGTGTTTCAGGTTTCATCATTGGTTTTGAGCGACGCATAGATTCCACTGTGTGTCTGTACCAGAGTGTCTTCTACTGATGGGCCCTGGGCTGTCTCTAGCGCCTTGCTGTTGTGAACGGTGATGTGATGAGCATGGGGGAGCACGGGTCTGCTTGTGGTTGGCTCCTACTTCGTTAGGGTGCAGACCCAGCAGAGGGATTGCTGGAGCAGCTGGGATTCCTGTTCCCAGTTGTTGGAGGTCGCGCCGTATAGCCTTCCACAGGGTCGCACCTATTCACAGGCCCACCAGCAGTGGATGAGCGCCCCAGTCTCTCTGCAGCCTCTCTGGTCTTTGTTGTTGTGTCCTGTCGTTTAATTGGGCTGTCATTGTCAGAGTAAGGTGATATCTCATCGTTGTTTCGTCCCAGGATGATCTCTCACCCTTGAATCAATGCTTTCCTCGGATGTCTTCTTAAAACAGAGCCATCATTTAGCTTAACTAGCCACGATTAGTTAAGGAGCCCTGGCGGGGTACTGGTTCCACATAGGGCTGCACTCTGCATGGTCAGAAGTTTGAAACCTCAGTGGCTCCTCAGGAGAAAGACCGGGCTTTCTACCCCCATCAACAGTGACAGTCTCAGAAACCCACCGAGGGGTCGCTGTGAATCATCATCGTCTTGATAGCAGCGAGTTTGGTAGTTTCTGAGTTCAAGACCGCCCAAAGGACAAACCCATCAGCCTTGGGAGAAGTACAGTCAGAATGCTCCTTAGAGGCCAAGATGGTGAGACTACATCTCATGCTTTCAGGAGAGACCAGTCCCTGGGGAAGGACACTGTGTTTGGTAAAGCAGAGGAGTAGCAAACAGAGGCAAACCTCATACAAGACACACTGACACAATGGCTGCTGCGACGGGTTTCAACCTAAGAACAATTGGGGTGAAAGGTGATCTCGTGGCTCTCGGGCTGGTCGCCGTGTCCAGTGCCGGCTCATAAAGTTTGAATGAGGCCCTGGGACAGACACGCCGCTCCACTGCTGGAGCTGGAGATGCTCCCGCGGAGTCAGGGCATGACAAGAAGTCACACTGTCTGATCTGCACCGTAGCTTGAAGTCTGCGGCTGCACCTGCCACGGTCTCCAGACAAAGGACACTGGCGTCAGGCCCATTCTACAACCTCACGCTTCTTGGGAAACACCTTGAAATCCTATATTGAAAATGCAGCTGCGTGCGGCATATAATACATAAAAGGGGGCGGGTGGAAAAAAATCCCCACGATCTTTTAATTCCATTTCTCAACCAGTTTTTGGAGTCCCCTCCTAAGGCACACAGAACATGTGCTCATCAATGGCGTGTGATTGTTACGGCTTCTGGTGAACAGGAGGCTGTCAGGGGTTGCCTTTTTAGGGAGTCCAGAATTAGACATGGATTTTGGGCTGTGCAGGGGCAGGGGGTAGTGCACCTATCCCCCCAAGTTGTTCAAGGTTTGACTGTCTACCTTATGTGGGTACAAGGACGCACCTGTGTCCTGGTAGTGCCAGCCACCAGCATAGAACTCTTCCAACAGGGCAGGGGGGCGCCAGGTCTGCAGCAGGGAGTCCACCTGGTGCTGCTTGCGCCAGCTGAGGGACTGGCGTAGCATGTCCCGGGCCTTTTCCAGGTGGAAGTCTCGAGCCCGCAGGAAGCGGAGAATGTGTTCATCTTTGGGAATCTGAGAGAAGACAAGAGGAGAAAACTGATAGGATTCGATTGCCCACGATCCAGCAGGTGACATAAAAGAAAGAGGGTCTCCTAAAATGGTTTGCTGGGACAGATACAGGCACAGGGTCACCCAGGGGTGGACTGTGTGAAACACCACAGGATGTCTCCTCTTCCAACCCACACCACAAAGTATGATTCAGCCCATCAGGCCAATAGTGGCAAGGTGGAGAAGACGAAGCAGTAAAACACCATGGACACCCACCCCTCTGCAGTCAGGTGTATTCAACCATGTAGGGCAGAGCACAACTTCCCACGGTGTTACCAAAAGACCCCACGGACAGATAGAACTGCCCCCACGGAGTTACCAAGCAACTCTCGGCCATCTCGTTTGTCTTTTGATGTTTGTGCATTTTCAAATATGTGAGCATATAAAAAAATGCATGCATCTTTCTGGGAGCAGACTACCACAGCTTTCTTCTGGCCAAGCGCTCGGTGGGTTTGAACTGCTGACCTTTCAGTTAGCAGCCAGGCACTAAGCCAAAACCACAATAACGCAAACACCCCTTAACTGGTTGTTCCAGAATCCGCCCTGTCCCGTGGCAACCTCTTGTGTGCAGAGCAGAGCAGAGCAGAAATGTACTCTGTAGAGTCTTCATGGCTGGGACCTTCCGGACGCAGAAATCCAGGCCTTTCTTCCAAGGTGCTTTTGTTCCAGGTGGGCATGATCCACCGTCCTTTCAGTTAGTAGCCCCAGCACTGACCGTCACACCACATGAGACAGTATTGGCGATGTGAGGGAAATGGGAACTATCCCAAGTGGCTAACGGCAGGAATTTATGATGCTCACCTCCCTCCCGCCCCAGCCCCCCAGGTGTGCACGCTGCTGCTCCAGGGGCCCAGCCCTACACTTACCTTGCCTTTGTGGGTCTCCTGAAGCCATTGCCGCAGCTGGACCAGACAGCTCTCCTGCATGGGCGAGAGCCGGCCGAGGCAACGCTCAATGTAGTCAGAGTCCAACTTGTCCCCTGAGGGGAGGAGAAGATGCCTGAGGGTTGGAGAGACGCTCCTCTCTGCAGCCCTCATCTACTGGCCACCCTGGCTCCTACATGTGGCCGTCAGCAAGACGAGGGTGCGAGAACGGTGCAGGACAGGGTAGTGGTATGCTCTGTCATCCCTGGGGTCACTGCGCATTGAAATCTAAGAACCACCACCTCCTAGGAGCGGGATGGCTGGATCCTATGGAAATTCCATGTTGAATGGAAGTTTTATCTTGCCTGGATCCACAGTCAGTTCTCCTGGAAGCGGCAGTCAAGACATCAAAGGACACATTGCATTGGGTCACTCTGCTGCACAAGACCGCTTTACAATGTTGAAAGGCAAGGAGGACTACTTTGAGGACTAAGGTGTGCCTGACCCAGGCCATGGTCTTTTCAATCACCTGTAGGACATTGAACAAGGTAGATGGAAGAGCAAATGCATCTGAAGGACGGTGCAGGCAAAGACCATTGAAAGCACCACGGACTGTCAAGAGAGCCAGCAAATCTGTCTTGGACAAAGTCCAGCCAAAATGCTCCTTAGAGGCAAGGGTGGTGAGACTCCATCATGTAATCAGGGTAGACCAGTCCCTGAGAAAGGACATCATACTTGCTAAAGTAAGAAGGGGGTGGAAGTTACACAATCTGGTGTCAATTTGGGACTTGAGAGGAGTAAGAGTGAAGGGGTGGAGTCTAGTCTGTCAATCGGGCCATAGCCAATGAGGCCTCTATGTGGGCATGGCTTTCTCCTGAGGATTCTGGGAACTCCAATATTTCCTCCTTGGAGGCAAAAGACTCTCTCTCTCTGCTCACTCCCTGAGAGACACTCTACTGACAAGACACAAGGCTCTACGCTGATAGAGCCTGTGCCCTGAGAGCTGGAGAAGCCACGTGGAGACCCCTGCCAGCACTGAGATGCTTACAACACCACTGAACCCACAAGACTTCCCACTCACTGGCCTGTGATCTTCCTGCACTCGGCATCATTGCATGTGTTTTGTGAGTCTGAAGAGGAATGTATAGACTGGTATTGGACATATGGGCTAACAGTGGACTTATGGACTTGATCTGGACTGGGCTGGGATGTTTTCTCAATATTCAACTACTCTTATATATAATGCTCTTTCTTACACACATATCAGTGTGTCTATGAATTTGTTTCTCTAGTCCACCCGGACTAACACAAAGGGCAACAAAAAAAGAGGAAGTCCCTCAACGAGAGAGGCTGGCACGGTGGCCGCAGCGATGGGCTGGAATGTGACAGCTGTGAGAGGACTGTGCAGGACAGAGCGGGCTTCGGTCTGTTGTCCGTCGGGTCACCGTGAGCTGCAACCAACTGGAAGGCACCCACCGATGACAACAACGACATGGGGATTCTAGGTGTAACTTCTCGAGGAAACACCAAACCACTTCCCCCAGAGGCTTTGCCAACCTTCCCACCTGCTGTGCCCACCAGTGCTCTCTCAACTGGGTGGCAGACAGCAGGCAGCATACCACAGCATCGTAATGTCGGGCACTGGGTGTGAGTGACCCACAAAAAAGCAGCCCGGATGTACACAACGGTCCTTGGTGTGCCATTAGCACAACAGGAAAGCAACTGAGGCACCCACCCTGCCAGCAGCAAGGCCTGAGGCTTCCCCAAAACAGACCCTCGGGGTTGGAGGCATCTGTGTAAACAGAGGCAGGAGGATGTCTAGGGGGTTGATGAACCATCCAGAACCCCCAGCCTGGCAGAGACACCGGTGACGGGGAGGGGATGGGGAGGGGCAAGCAGCCGCTGAGCCCAGCATCCTTCCGGTCTCGAGACAAATGTGAAACTCTTTTCTCCTTCTGGACACAAAGGCTCCTGGCATCAGAACAGCATAGAAAGGACCTTGACCACAGCTTCTGCCAGCTGTCCTGACAGCCAGTCCTGCCGGGTGGTGGAGGGACACAGAGGGACAACAGAGGAGGGGACGCAGCACCATGTGTGTGCAGGAAGGGCTGGAAGTGGTAAGAAAAAACCTAAGGTACCCTAGCAGCCGAGCGGCCCTGGGGGCAGAGGGTTATGAGTCCCATGGTCAGCACTTAGAAACCACAGGGTCAAGAGGGGGCTTTCTACTCCCATTACCACCAACTCTCTGAAACTCACAGGGCAGCCCTACCTTGTCCTACAGGGTCGCTATGAATCAGCATCGACTCAATGGCAGTGGGTCTGGTTTTTCATCCCAGCAGCCAGCCCAGGGCGAGTTGGGGCAGAGCGACCACATGGAATGAAGGGGTTTGGTTTGCCCCACAAACGCGGCCACCGAAAGCCCTGCAGCACCCGGTTCTAGTCCAGGCTACTGTTGTGCTTTGAACACCAACCAATCTCAACTGCTGCCAGCGTCCAGCTGTTTCTGACTCACCCAGATCCTGGAAGACACAGTAGAACTGGCCCCCACCGCCTAGGGTTTCCAAGGCTGTGACTCTTTGTGGCAGCCGACAGCCTCATTTGTCTCCTACAGAGCAGCTGGTGGGCTCGAACCGCTGACCTTAACCACTCTGCCACATAGCCCTAGGGATGGGAGGCTCCTGAAATCAGGCAAATCCCTGGGCTTCAGAGGCCCTGAAGGAAAATGCGATCAAAGTGAACACACACACACACACTTAAAAAACAAACAAACCTGGGCTCGTGGTATATGTACAGTTTTTAACATTTTGTTGCGAATATTTTCCACGTTGTGAAGAATCCCTTGCAATACAATCAAGGCTGATGACCTGCCTGTAAACCAGTAAGAAGGTGGCGGGTAAGTCAGAAATGGGAAGAAGACAAGACCGGGAATGCACAGAAGTGGAAAACAAGGGTCTTTAAGCGAGGAAGAACCCTTCGGAGGGGAACTGGCTTTTACGAGACTGAATGTGGTCTGCTGCAAAGTCACTTCACATTTGAGATCACGCCTATGTAGCACCTGCTAGGGTGGCCTTGGAGGCCTGCAGGTCTGGCACCTTTGCTCCACCCCAAAACCCCACTGCCCCCAAGTCAATTCTGACTCACAGCAGCCCTGTGTGGGGTTCTGAGACTCACATCTTTACTGGAGCAGACAGCCTCGAACGTCTCCCACAGAACACCCGAGGGGCTTGAACCTTCAACCTGGCGTTTTGATTGTGCCCGTCTCAACACCAAACAGCACCTGGCAGTGCCAGATCTCCCATCCAAGGACTAACCAGGCCTGACCCTGCTTAGCTTCTGATAAGACAAGATGGAGAGGGAGAGCCATACAAGTCCCTCTAGGGGGACGCTAGGAAAGAAAGGGCCCTGCTGCCTCCACCCAGGGACCAGCCATGTCAGTGAGCACCCTAATAAGCTCCCATGCCACCAATGTGACAGCAGGGAGGTTTTGTTTGCTTTTAAGGGCATTATCCAGGGGCTGCCAGCTTCCTCCTTCAGTCTCAGCAAGCCTGGAGTTAGGTTGACCTAACCCACTGCCATCGAGTGGATGCTGACACACAGCAACTCTGGGTAGGGGTTTCAAGGCTGTCCATTTTTACCTGAGCAGATAGCCTCATCTTCCTCCCTAGGAGCGGCTGGTGGTTTAGAACTGCCCATTGTGTGCCTACCAGCCCAATACCTAACCCACTGCACCACCAGGATCTTTTGCCCAGATCTCCTCAATTGTAATCAGAGCACAGAGCCTCTTTCAGAGGTTAAAAGCACTGAATGACAACACCAGGTGGCTCCAAACAGGTCGCTGAAAAATCCCACTCTCTTTTCATTCTGTTTCCACAGACTTTCTGAAGCCCTCTCATCTTATGGGGTGCGGGGTTTAGTGGGACCACTTTTCTACCCAACTCTGCTACCTGACTCAACAAGCCATGTCCCCAATTTTATACAATTTTGTACTTAAATTATATCCCTTTGGGACAGAGAAGTACTACATTGTTTTCTGTTTGTCTGTTTTAAAAACGTCCAGGCAGCCTCTGCTTACGACATCAGAGGTAAATACTGGTGCAGCTGGGCCAGGCAGTACTGGGATGTGACCAAATGAGACATGAGCTCTGACGCAGAAAGCTGTTCAGGAAACATTCAACTCAAAACCTAACCTGCCGCTGTCTCCCAGCGACCCTACAGGACAGAACAGAACTGCCCCAAGAGCCTTGGTGGCCTGGTGGTTACCTCAAGGTCAGCAGTTCAAACCACCAGCCTCTCTGAGGGAGACAGGGCTTTCGACTTCTCTAAAGAGTTAGTCTCGCCTTTCCAACATGATTGCTGAAGACAAAATGGGTGCATGAGCTAATGTGGTGAAGAAAGCTGATGGTGCCCAGCTATCAAAAGATATGGCTGTCAGGCAGAATCAGGAGTTGGCAGGGCAGGAGAGGGGAGGGATGCCCGGAGCTGGTGAAAAGCACTTCAAGGACGCTGCAAAGGACCAGGCCTCCCCCTCCCCCTCCCCTTTGGTGGCCTTCCAGCTCAGGTGCAGAAGGCTGACCGTTACAGATAACTTTGAACGTTGTTGCTTAGCCCCGGATCTGCAGACAACAAGTTGCAGTGGGAAAATTCCCCAGCTACTCCCTCCACCAACCCCGGGTTATAAAACTCTCCACTTCTCCCCTGACAACTTTTCGTGCCCTCAGCTGGGGACCCATGAACCTCACCCTGGAGCTCAGGATGCTCCCATCCCTTTCTCTGTACTCCCCTCCCTCCTGGGCAGCTCGACTTCTCTGGCCCCAATTAGGGACCTGTGAACCTCACCGGGAGCTCTGAAATAAACCTTTGGAACTGTTTTCCACCTTTGCCTTCTTTCTTTTTGTCACCAAATCTGCCTTACAATAGCGTGAGGGGTCTTAAAGGCTTGAAGTTAAACAAGTGGCCATCGAGAAGCCCGAAAACAAACAACCATTTCAATGTGAACGGTGGGGGGTGGGGCGGAATGGAGACCCAAAGGCCATCTGTAGACAACTGAACATCCCCTCACAGAAAGGTCACAAGGAAGGGACAAGTCAGCCAGGGTGCAGTGTAGCACCGATGAAACACACAGCATTCCTCTAGTTCTTTAATGCTTCCTCCCCACCACTGCCCCCCCTACTATCATGACCCCAGTTCTACCTCGCAAATCCGACTAGACTGGAGTATGTTCACTGCTGGTACAGATAAGAGCTCTCGACACACAGAATCCAGGACTGATAAACCCTGCAGTACCAATAATGAAAGTAGTGATACCATGAGGGTAGGGGAAGGTGGGAGGAGAAAGGGGGAACCAATTGCGGTGATCAACATACAACCCAACCCCCTCTCCCAGTGGGACGAATAACAGAACCGTGGGTGAAGAGAGAAAGCGGACGGTGTAAAATATGAAAATAAAAATAATTTATCAATTATCAAGGGCTCACAAGGGCAGGAGGGTGGGGGAGGGAGGAGAAAAAAGAGGAGCTGAGACCAAGGGCTCAAGTAGAAAGAAAATGTTTTGGAAATGATGATGGCAACATTATGTACAAACGTGCTTGATACAATTGATGTATCAATTGTTATAAGAGCTGAATGAGCCCCAATGAAATGATTTATTAATTTTTTAAAAACTAGAAAAAAACAAATAATTCTACTAGTGAAAAAAGGGAACAATTGACCTGATTTTATAAGAATGAAAACTCATCATGCAAATTATACTGATTTCAAAGGGATAGGTGGGTGGCCATTGATTTACTTAATTGGAAACCTCTTCTGGCTGGAGGGTAAAGAAACTGTGTTTCTGTAATCTTAATTCCTTTCTGAACATATCTCACATAAATTCTTAATATATATATTTGTAAAAGAGTCTCAGAAACCCACAAAGGCAGTTCCACCCTGTCCTACAGGGTCACTATGAGTCGGCATCACCTCGACGGCAGTGAGTAAGATGGTTCTGAGGCCATAAATCTTTTTTTTTAAATCATTTTATTAGGGGCTCATACAACTCTTATCACAATCCATACATACATCAATTGTGTAAAGCGCATTTGTACATTCATTCCCCTCATCATTCTCAAAACATTTCCTCTCCACTTAAGCCCCCGGCATTAGGTCCTCATTTTCCCCCTCTCTCCCTGCTCCCCCCTCCCTCATCAGTCCTTGATAATTTATAAATTATTATTTTGTCATATCTTGCCCTGCCAGACGTTTCCCTTCACCCACTTTTCTGTTGTCCGTCCCCCAGGGAGGAGGTCACATATAGTTCCTTGTAATCGGTTCCCTCTTTCCAACCCATTCTCCCTCTACCCTCCCAGTAGAGGCCATAAATCTTGACAGAAGCACATGACCTCATCTTTCAAGTGCAAAGCAAGCGGCTAGTGGGTTTGAACCACTGACCTTCCAGTTAGCAGCCAACCAGGTAACCTCCACGCCCCCACCTTCCACTGCAGTCTAGTCGACTCTGACTGAAATCCACCCCATGGGACACAGTAGAACAGCCTCCCAGGGTCCCCAAGGCTGTGAGTCTTTATGAGAGTGAACTGCCTCATCTTCCCCCCAGGAGCAGCTGGTGGGTTTGAACTGTGGACCTAGCTTCCGGTTAGCAGCTGTGTGTTTAACCCCTACGCCACTAGGGCTCTTTCTACGAGGAGGCTTCCAAAGTCCATGGAAAATGGGTCTCCAAGATAATGGGTGAGTCCAAGCATGAGGAAAACATATAGCTGTTTGTGGTGACGACTGCACGGCTCCGTATATTCAAAGCACTGTGGATTTTATATAAAAGTGCTAACATTTAAAATATTAAGTTAAAAAGATCATGGGATTTTCCCACAAACTTTAAAAAATGCCCAACAGGGAAAGGGGGGAACCCATCACAAGTTGGATATATAGCCCACCCCCAAGGGGGACGAATCGCAGAAATGTGGGTGAGGGGAGACAATGGACAGTGTAAGACATGAAATAACAATAATCATATATAATTGATCAAGGATTCACGAGGGTGGAGTGTGGGGGATGGAGGGGAAAAAAAGAGGAGCTGATCCCAAGGGCTCAAGTAGAAAGAATTTGTTTTGAAGATGTTGATGGCAAAATATGTACAAGTATGCTTAATACAAGTGAATGATGGATTGCAGGTGCCGCAGAACGCGAGAGGGCTTTAAATATCACCATGTCAGTTCTCACGAGAGTAAAGGACTGATAGAAATCTTGGCGGGGGAGGGGAATGCTTAATAGTTTTACTGGCATTTAATTCACATCCCAAACAATTCAATAGTTTAAACATACTGAAGAGTTGTGCGATCATCATCAGAATCAATGTTAGAAGTTTCTTCTTTCTTAAACTCATGATTATTAGCTCCTCATTTCCCTCCAACCTCCCCAGCCATAACCCCAGTAAAATTCAAAGTCACTGCTGTGGACTTGATTCTGACTCTAGTAACCCAGAGTAGAGCTGCCCCTGTGGGCTTCTGAGACCATCACTCTTTATAGGAGTGGACGTCTCCTCTTGCTCCCAAGGAGCAGCTGGTGGTTTCAAACTGCTGATCTGTGGCTAGCAGCCCAAACCGTAACCACTACACCGCCACCACTCCCAGAAATATTTAATCCAGTTATTGTCTCTGTAGATTTATCCACAAATTTTGTGAAGCTCCCTCAAGTACACACACGCATACACACGCGGTCACTGGGTGGCACCAACCACCAAAAAACCACAAAAACACAAACTCACTGCCATCAAGTGGATTCTGACTCACAGCGACCCTATCGGACGTGACAGAACTGCCCCTGCGGGTGTCTGAGACTATCACTCTTTACGGGAATAGAAGCTTCGTCTTACTCCCAAGGTGCAGTGGGTGGTTTCCAACTGCCCACCCTGTGGCAGCGGAACGTGAAACCCTCTACACTGGCAGGGCTACCCCGGATGAGAAGCAGTTAAGCTCTTGCCTAAACACAAGGCTAGCCGTTTAAACCCACCCCAGAGGTGCCTTGGAAGAAAGTTAGGGTAATCAGTTCTCACAAAGTCACTGACTTCTAATTCCTCTGGGACCGTTCCTCCTCCGCTCACACGGGGTGGTTGTAACTCGAGGGCCACCAGGGGCCACCCCCACCTATCCTGCTGAGATATGTTCAGGAGGCAGAGGCACAAAACTACCATGGCCTCGTGGAAAGGCGAGGAAAGGGTGCCCCCTTCTGCCCCGCCCACCATCAGAGCAGTTGGAACTTTCTCTACCATGAGCAGGCATTACTCACCTAATTAAAAATAGTCCCAAACCCGTGCTGAGTCACCCTCGTTCAGTCCCTGATCTCAAAATGAACTGGTTCTGGCTCTCAAGCCAGGAGGGGTGTGTGAGAGCAGCCAGGAGGGGGAGGGACCTGCAGTTCCAGGGAGACCCTGACCCCACCCTCAGAAGAGCTAGTGGAGATACAGCAGGGGACCCCGAGGGAGAAGCCAGGCCATAGGCCCGGGCTGCGGGGACCTACCTTCTGTGGGAGCCGGCTCCAGGGAACTGCTTGGGGTGCCAGCACCTGGGGGTCTGGCCCCGGGGAGCGTGTCCTTCTCAGGGGCGGCGGCAGGCATCCAGCGGGGGATGTGAGAGACGCCCTGGGAGATGAGCTCACCCAGGTAGTGTTCGATTACCTCCTTTCCCTGCAAGCAGGAGGGTGAGACAGGTCAGCAGGGGCCAGGAGGCCGGGGAGCAGCTCGGC